TTATTATAATTAATTAATTTAAATTAATATTAAGTTTTTTTTATTGTCCCTTAAGGACACAACTTAAAAAATTTCATTAATATTTTATATATTTTAAATAATTTTAATTAATATTTTTTAGTTTTTATAAAAATAAAAACTGAACAACCAATGAGCAATTAATTTATAAAAATTTGTTAATTTTATTCAAGGGTTGTAGAGTATTTGAAAACCAAAACTAACCTGACCTCTTGATATTTTGAGATTAACTTATCAAAATAAAACAAAAATAAAATAAATAATTAACTACTTTTACGGTCCATAAAGAGGGGAAAAAATGCATAAAAAATAACCACCTTAATTTAATAATTTTGTCTTGTGAGTAAATATGGGCCATGCTCTTCGCGAACCTGCGACCTTCGCGTTATTAGCACCACGCCCCAACCAAGCTAATAGGCCAGTTATTATCTTTAATCAAGGTATCTCTATATTTTTATATAGGTTTCCCTATAGAATTTTGTCAACTGCATAGACCCCTCTATCTTTCCTCTGTCCTTTATATTTAAGTTACTTCAATTTTCATCATACCTTTGGATGTAGTGTGGTCTCCACGATGGAGCCAATAATGTCTGTGTCTTTGTGTCTTCTAAACAATGAGTGGATGCAAATGGTTTCCTTATCCATACAACAAAGCAGCAAAACTACCGGTAAAAGTGTTTAATCCCTATTATTCTTCACCTGATTCAGAGCAAAAATGGCTGAAGCTGTCAGGAGCTTCTCTATGACTAAGCTCCATCCACAATGCTCTCTCCATTCCACCCAATCCCACGTCCCCTCATCTCCCAAATTGGTACTCCCTTCTCAGAATCTCATATTTTGATCATTGCATGAATATCTTAGACACCCTTTTTCAATTTTTTTTTTGGGGCAGTTGCAGCTCAGGCAATATTCAAGCACCAGACTTTTCAGTGGCTGGAACCAGGTATATACAAGTAGCTAGCTTCCTTTTTAACTCTGTTCACTGTGATTCTCTCCGTTTTCAAAAATGAATGTTTTGTGAATTTTGTGATCTAATAGAATGATGGTAGCAGTGGGAGCAAAAGGGTCTCTTTGATTAGAGTGAATGCTCTTCCTGATTGGCCTCTGATGGCCGTTTTTGTTCATCAAGTTCAACAACTGGATGCACAGAGAGAAATTATAACCAACAAATCTATCTGGCATCTCAGTGATACAGCCATAAAGAATGTTTGTAAGTCACTTTAAATGGTTTTATTTTATGTCTGCTATGTGTTTGGTTAAAGACATGACTAAACTGAGGTTGTCCATTTTTGTTCTGTTCTGTAGACACTTTCTACATCATGTTCACCTGTTGGGGATGTTTGTTCTTTGGTTCCACCAAAGTAAGCGTATTGTAATCTGTTATATATATATATATATATATATATATATCTTAACCTCGTTCTTGGGACTTAAAGTGTTGAGTCTTTGACATCTACATCAATCTTTTTTTTAAAAAAAATTCTGTGTAGGATCCATACTATGATTCTGAAGCATACAGGAAAGATGGAGGAGATGGCACTGGGCATTGGGTTTATGAGAAGGTAATATTTCTATTTAATTGCTTCATTTC